GGAGTCGCTGTCGTCCACACATGGCAGGGTCAGGGTCGTACCGGCCTACGACGTCATCCATGGTCTCAAGCACCATGGACTGGCCCTGTCCCGATCCGATGCCATCAAGAACTTTATGGCAAAGTCCCTCCGCCAGGCAGCCAAGGCCAAGACCGCCCCTGTCCGCCGCTGCATCCAGATGCGCATCCCCGAGGAGTACCGCGACGAGTACGACTCGCTCCTCAAGAAGGCCCTATCCGGCAAGGAGGTCAAGCGGGCGGACATCACCGCCGTCCCCAAGGTCCCTGGTTCTGCCGCTGCCGCTGCCTCGTCGTCTGCCTCTGCCGCTGCCGCTACCGCTGCCCCTGCCGTTGTCGTTGCTGTCGCTGCTGCTGCTGCCCCCGCCGCTGGTGCCTCGTCAAAGCCCAGCAAGCCTCACCCCGCCTACAGAGTCCCGCTGTCCGTCATGGACACTGACTCTGAAGGAGAGGGCCCCCGGGCCAGCAGCAGCGCTGCACGACTCCAATGAATCCACACCCCTCGCAGGGAGGCGGCAGGGCCCAGACATCCCTGACCGTCGCTTCCTTCAATGTCTGTGGCATCAACGTCAACGACGTTGAACTCAAGAACCTCATCGACACCAACGACATCGACTTTGTCGGTGTCCAAGAAACCCTCGCCGACCTCGAACCCCGCAGCCCTCTCTGTGGCTATGCCGTCAAGGTCCCTGGTCCCCGTTGCCGCGCCGGTAGAGGCATCGCCATCCTCTACAACCCGGCCAGGATCGACCCGCACGACTTCACCAACATTGAAGTCAGCGACAAGGGCGACGCCATGTGGGTGACATACAAACACGTCATCCACATCGGCAACTTCTACCTGTCCCCGAGCCTCAAGCTGGACGACTACCGCGAGGCCCTCCAGTCGATCCACACCAAGGCCGCCCTCCCCGACGCCCAGGTCATTGTGGTGGGTGACTTCAATGCCCACCTCAGTGCCCTGAGCGGACTGCCCACGCCGCTCCGTGGCAGGGAGAAGATCCTCGAGGACACTGTCTCCCGCGCCGGTCTCCGCGTTGTGCCTCCAGCTGTGATCCCGACCCACACCCGGCAGCGGGGTCCCAGCTGGACAACGATCGACTACATCTTTGTGTCGCATCGCCAGGCCAACAACGACCCGCTGCTGCAGGTCGACACTGCCGGTGCCTTCCGTGGCCAGTCCGACCACTTCCCCATCTGGGCGACTCTGCGGGTACAGCCAAAGTACTACCCAAAGGTCGACCAATGGCAGTGGAAGATCGCCCAGCTCGAGGATCCTGCCGTCCGCGCCCAGTACCTCTTGGCGCTGCTGGACGAGCGCGAACGCGGTCTGCAGCGCATCCAGGCTGCACTCCGGCCAATCTCAAGGGGATCGGTCATTCCGATCTCGGAGAGTGCGGCCCAGGACTGCATCGACCGCGCCTGGTCCATCATGATCGCCCTGATCACCACCGCTGCCGACTCCACCATCGGCAAGGCTTCCATCAAGACCGTCTGGAAGGACCCGGCCCTGATCCCCGAGATGCGGCAGCTTCGCGAGAGGCGCCGCGATCTCATCTACCAGCTCAAGTTGCCCGGGCTCTCCCTCCGCGTCGCCGAGGACAAGCGCGCCGAACTCCGCGCTGTCCGCAAACAAGAAAAGAACCTCATCGTCCAGTCCCGCCGAGCAGCCGAGACCCTGGCCATGAACAAGCTGCACTCCCTCAACGCTTCCGAGGTCGCCAAGTCCCTGGCCGCCATGAAGAAGCGCAAGGAGCTCGACGACGCCTTCCACTTTGACAACTCGGACGAGGCCCTCGAGCGACTTGTGGTCCACTACGGCAAGGTCTCCTCGCACTCCCAGGACACCCCCGGTGCCGCCTTTGACCGGACCGTCGGCCCAAGACCCCTGGACACTGTTCCGCGCCTGCTCCCCGAGGACCGCTCCATTCCCCGATTGTCGTCGGACGAGGTGGCCGATGCCATCGTCAAGTCCCCCAAGCGCAAGTCTTCCGGCCCGGACAAGATCAAGGCCGAGATGCTGCACCCTGTCGCTCCCGTGGTCGCTCCCTGGCTCCGGGCCATCCTGCTGGCCGCCCTCAAGGCCTCCGTCGTCCCGACCGAGTGGAACACTGTCCTGATCCACCCGGTCTACAAGAACAAGGGTTCGATCCTCGATCCGGCCATGTACCGGCCCATCGGGTTGACCCAGGTCCTCCGCAAGATCGCCGAGCGAGTCCTGCTGCCGTTCCTCACCCGCGAGATCGGCATCATGGACATTGCCCAGGGAGGCTTCCGCCCGGACCGAGGCACCCTCGACCAGGTGTACTCGCTCGACGCTCTTGTCCGCATGAACAAGATCCGCGACGACGAGTACAGCCTGGTCTTCCTCGACATCAAGGCCGCCTACGACACTGTCTGGCGGGAGCGCCTCTGGGACAAGATCGCCACCCGAGGTGCTGGTCCGGTCGCCGTCGGGGTCCTCAGGGCCATGTTCGACCGCACTCTTGTCCGCGTCGCCAGCAAGGGCCGCACGTCGCAGCCTGTGTGGCTGCAGAAGGGTCTCATCCAAGGCTCGGTCCTGAGTCCCCTTCTGTTCAGTGCCCACATTGACGACCTGCCTGGACTGCTCCGAGCCGAGGACGGACTTGTGCTTGCCTCGAGTCGCCACCACCGTCTCCGGGTCAACTCGCTCTGGTTTGCCGATGACGGTGTCCTCATCTGTCCGGCTGGCCGCACCCAGGCCATGCTGGATATCTGCGAACGCCACAGCATCGACAACCGGTACCGCTTCTCGCCTCCCAAGTGCGAGGTGCTGTACTCGGCCTGCAACGTCGACCAGCTCCATCCCGCCAAGCTGTACGGCACCGAGCTGCCCAAGGTCCTCCAGTTCCGCTACCTCGGTGTCATGGTCGACATTGACGGATTCCGCCCGGACCTCCAGTTCGACAAGCTCCTCCGCAAGGTCCACATGGTCACCGACACCGTGGTTGGACTCGGCATCACCCTCGGCAAGGTCTCGGCCAAGACCATCACCCAGGTCTACAAGACCTTTGTGCGGCCGACCCTCGAATACGGGATGGCCATGGACATCCCCGACCCAGCTCTGCGCGACCGCCTCGACGACGCCCAGATGACGGCCCTCCGCACCATGTTCCGCGTCGGCCCCGGCACTCCCGTCGGTGCCATGCACCTCAACTGCGGCCTTCCCAAGATGTCGGTCCGTGTCAAGATGCTGGCCCTGCAGAACTGGGCCCGCTGGGACGACCAAGTCTCTGACGGCGACAAGATGCTGTCGATGATCCTGCGCAACAAGATCATTGCGCCCTACCACCCCGACCAGTTCCTCGGCCAAGGAGTCCGAGCCGATCCGCACTGGGCCATGGTGGTCCGCCGACAAGAGGCCGACCACTCCCTCACGGCCACGGAGATCTACCGAGGCAAGACCCGACACCAGCCGCCGCCGCCCGGACCGCCCCGACCCCAGCCCGTCCCGATCAAGACCCTCATCTTCGAGGACCACATGAAGAACGGCTTCGACCGCTCCAAGCAGCTCACCGCCGCCTGCACCCCGTCGACCAAGATGTCGGGACTCTGGGAGGCTCGCGGGTACCAAGGATCCATGATCATGCTCATGTTCATGGTCCGATGGCGACTCGGTGCTCTCCCAGGCCACTTCAGATTTGGCTACCGCAAGTGCAAGAACCTGGCTCGACACGGATCCGGGATCGACTTGACCAGGACCCACGCACAGCAGTGTGTGGATCCGCATCAAGTCCTGGTCCGCAAGGTCGCAGCCCTCAAGACGGCCCACCCGACTTGGGTGGAAAGTGGTATAGCCGGAGTGGGACCAGTGGACAAGCTGCTGGACCTGCTCAGTTTCGATCGCACTCCCCCTCGCAGTCGCACCCCTCCCGCACTTGGATCACTTGCTGCTCATGTACCCGCTCCCCGCACTGCCTTCCGAGCATTCGCACTTGGTGCACACCCAGCACCACCACCCACTCCCACACCCAGTGTAGTCCCACCCTTGCAGTCTCTCCCTGCACCCTCATCACAGCGTAGTATAGTGTCAGCACTTGTCATTCCTCCACCCCGACCCCCCCTCGATCCTGCTGTTCCCTTGTGGGAACTGCTCGAAAATGTGTTCACCCGCTTGGTCTCAGACCTTGTGGGCAGCTGAGGCAGCACTAGGCTGCAACAGGAGTAAATAGGCTTGCCTGTGTACTCAACGTGCCGGGGTACCAACCTGTTGGACCTGATGGCTTGTCTTCTTGAATAAAGTTGACTATAGTAACAAAAAAAAAAAAAATCGACTTGACCAGGACCCACGCACAGCAGTGTGTGGATCCGCATCAAGTCCTGGTCCGCAAGGTCGCAGCCCTCAAGACGGCCCACCCGACTTGGGTGGAAAGTGGTATAGCCGGAGTGGGACCAGTGGACAAGCTGCTGGACCTGCTCAGTTTCGATCGCACTCCCCCTCGCAGTCGCACCCCTCCCGCACTTGGATCACTTGCTGCTCATGTACCCGCTCCCCGCACTGCCTTCCGAGCATTCGCACTAGGTGCACACCCAGCACCACCACCCACTCCCACACCCAGTGTAGTCCCGCCCTTGCAGTCTCTCCCTGCACCCTCATCACAGCGTAGTATAGTGTCAGCACTTGTCATTCCACCACCCCGACCTCCCCTCGATCCTGCTGTTCCCTTGTGGGAACTGCTTGAAAATGTGTTCACCCGCTTGGTCTCAGACCTTGTGGGCAGCTGAGGCAGCACTAGGCTGCAACAGGAGTAAATAGGCTTGCCTGTGTACTCAACGTGCCGGGGTACCAACCTGTTGGACCTGATGGCTTGTCTTCTTGAATAAAGTTGACTATAGTAACAAAAAAAAAAAAAATCACAGCGTAGTATAGTGCCAGCACCTGCCACTCCACCACCCCGACCTCCCCTCGATCCTGCTGCTCCCTTGTGGGAACTGCTTGAAAATGTGTTCACCCGCTTGGTCTCAGACCTTGTGGGCAGCTGAGGCAGCACTAGGCTGCAACAGGAGTAAATAGGCTTGCCTGTGTACTCAACGTGCCGGGGTACCAACCTGTTGGACCTGATGGCTTGTCTTCTTGAATAAAGCTGACTATAGTAACAAAAAAAAAAAATCGACGATCCAGGCGGCGATTCTACATCGCCTTGCTTGACGCCGTTGTATGGCGCAATGGTGTCGGCTCGATTGACGCCATCTGTGTGCTGGATGTGAGTCGAGTTGGCCAAGGCGATCGCCGGGTTGGGATTGTCCGGCACTGATGAAGGTGGTCGGAATGTTCGGAGTGGTCCGAACGGTACTGGAACAGCCTCTTTGAGTCGTGAGGGTGGAACAACAAAGCTCCTGTCTTCCTGGCCGTCGGCAGAAACGAGGCGAGCACGAACAACAAAGTTCGAGGCTTCGGTCATAAGCGCGGAACTGGACAAACCGGCGATTTGCATCAACATCAGCATCGGCGCTTGGAGGGACCGATGGGACTGAAAGGGTGCCAAGCGACACGCAATCTTGATTCAAGCGAACCAGCGATCAATGCGACATTCGCTCATGGGAATGCAAATGCCAGCGGTGTCATGACACTTGCTCTGAAACTAAGCTTCCGTCGTGCTCCTGCCGGAGGAGCTGCAGGACAGGAACAGGATCGATCGGACGTCCGTGACGCCGTGAGCCAAACCCCGAGCGACGAACCCTCGTGGGCTGATCGATGATCGTCAAGATATATACGGGATCACTCAGCTGCCGGCGAAAGTTGGGATATAGTCAATGAAAGTTATCTCGCGAGAGTGGCGAGCACGAAGGCCGATGCAATATTGCTGACAACAGCACGAGGCGACTACACGAACAATATCCCCGAGCCATCGAACATACAACCCACCCGAGCAGACAAACTGGATGAGCAGCCAAATCCGCGCCCCAAGTCGTCTGCGTTGTCTGATACCCACCATTTCGCGATGTGTGTGTGGTGCTGTGGATTGCAAATGGTGGGGATGCGGCTTTCCCCGAGGCGATTGATCCATATCGTGATGAGCCCAGATGGCCCAGGGCAATCAGCACGAGTCTTGCAAATTCTTTGGGCGCAGATATGGCATCCAGCTCGATACAGGACCTGTCGGATAAACTTGGACTTGGATCACAACCAGGTGAATTGGCGGGCAACCACCGATCCGGGCAACAAACAGCATTGTTGCGTTGGCTATTGGTTGTGTACTTGGCCAGCGTCGGGCCCCTGCCAGACACACTTACTCATGTTGCAAGAACGGTGGGCTGTGGGCTGGATGCTCTGTTTCCAACACAAGTAACTGTTGCGGTGATCAAAGTTGATGATTGTTTGGCCAGACCTTTCCATGCCAGTATGACTCAGAATTTTACCCGGGCCAGTGGATTGAGAGTAAATAGTGAGGACAGCGGAGCAACCCCGCAATGATCCTCCGCCAGCTTCCCACCCCCTCATCGGCCAGTTCGGCATGGCCTCAGCCGCCAAGCCCAGGTTGCCAGATGAAGGACTCAAGCTCTGACGAATGTGTCTCGTGCTTGGTGGCAACTCCTTTCATCATCGGATACAAAACTGGCGGTGGATCGCCTTTCGATCGCCCGATTGCGATCCTCAACGAGCACCACCTCCGTCGCTATGCATCTCAAAATCATTCGCATCCACGTCCACCGGTCCCAGTCGACTGGTCCTCGTTCTGGCCCAAGCACCTACTGCTACATCATGGGGCAGAAGCCCCAAACCTGTGTTCGATGTAACTCCCATCATGATCGGCCGCATGGCAAGAGCGGCGAGGAGCTTGACCTTGAAGAGTCGCTCCGGGAGAACTACATCGAGGCATTTGATATGATCCGCACATCCACCGCCCCCACAACACACGATCCCGTCGAACTCCAAACAGCCTACAACACCATCGTGAACAGCGAGCTGGTTCCATGGCT